TAATTAATTGTTAGTATACGCGTTAAATATGAAATAAACCTTACTTAATTTTTTCTTCTAATTCTAATTTTTTTTTTTTTTTCATTTATGTATTTTCTTTTTAAACTATTGTAGGAGCTTCGAATGTGACGGGACAATAAATGCAGGCGATTTGTAAAAGCCCCTTGACATTAAATATAGAAACGAGATTCAAATTCAATGTTTGTGTGGGTGGGTTGGGGGAATATGATTAATGTTGGTCCAACCATTGGATGCTTTATTTTGTATTTTTTTTTTTTTTTTTTTAAATAAAAGATGCATATACAAATAGACAATTAAAATTCGTTTTTGTTTATTTTCATCATTTATAAATAAAAATAGGATTATAATAAGTTGGCGACTTCAAATTCAAAGAATAGATGTATTCTTGTATTTTGTATCTTCAAAAGCAATATATGAGTTATGGTAAGTCTGTGATTTGGGATAATCATAAAAATAGCAAAAATAACCATAATGATATCAATAACTTGATTGAATAAAATTACCAACAATTTCATGTTAAATTATTATCTTGACTAGATATTTTACGCATGGAGTGATTTCTTGAATACGTTTGTGTTGCCAATTATTATTATTTTTTATTTGATTATGATTTATTATACATAACTCATAAGATATTTTCCCTCCTACTGCTCTCTATCTTTTCTGTTCTCTTATGCTTAATAAATGTTTGATCTAAGGAGTACTTGAAAAGCGTTGAGGATTACCATGGACTCAAATTAGCATTAAACTTTGTTCATATATTTGTTCATTTTTAACATTTCGTATATTTAAGAGTAAATTACACGAATGGTCCCTATGGTTTGGGGTAATTTGTGCGTTTGATCCCGAACTTATTTTATTAACTCGGAAGGTCCCTAGTAATTGTTTTTTATACCTGTTTGGTCCCTATTGTTTGTTTTTGTTACGCGCTTGGTCCCTATCATGCCTAAAAAGACTATTATTTAAATAGGAAAAAATGATGGAGTACGTAAAGTAAGGTGAGAAGGGTGATATTATGGGTGTGTTTATTTAAATAAATTAAAAAAGAAAGGGAAAATAGACTTTTTATGTAAGATAAGGACCAAGCGCGTAACAAAAACAAACAGTAGGGACCTTCCGAGTTAAAAAAATAAGTTAGGGACCAAACGCGCAAATTACCCTAAACCATAGGGACCATTCGTGTAATTTACTCTATATTTAAATGTTAAAACAATGTTGAATTGATTGTGAATGTATATATAGAGTGATGTTACATAGAAAAACATTATTAACAAGACAAAATTGCAAATTTGGTCCCTGTGGTATGTCCAAACTAGCATGTTTGGTCCAAAATGGGTTTGGCTTGCAAAGATGGTCCAATAGTTTCTATTTGTTGCGAGTTTAGTCCAATGGCTTAACAGCCGTTACCAAGCTCACGTTAATTTACCCATGCCCCTCTCACTTAAGGGTATTTTAGTCCATTCATCTAACCCCTTTATTATTTTATTATTATTTAGTCCATAAAGAGACTACAACGTCTCTATTCTCGTCTCCAGCAACAAGCCCTAACTATCACTCCCTCTCTGATTTCATCTTCTCCATCGATCACCCCCCTGTGATTTCATCTTCTCCATCGACAATGGTGATGTGCGTCTGCAGAAAGTGGGCGATAGTTCGGACATCGTGGACAGATAACAACCTAGGGCGCCGATTTTGGGGATGTCCTGACCCGGTAAGTGTGTTAAACTTTATTTTGAAGACTACTCCCTGATGATCTAATGTTTCTTTCTTCTTTTTTTCAAGAATTCATCATGTGGGTTTATTGGGTGGTATGATGAACCCATGTGTGCTCGTTCCAAAGTTATAATACCAGGGCTGCTTAGGACAATCAATAAGCTACGAAAAGCAATGGATGATATAAAAGAACAAGCAAGCAAGCATGAAAAAGCAATGGAGAAGATCAAAGAACAAGCAACTATGTTGAAGTATTACCTAGTCTATAGTTGGATTTTTTTTGTTGTTGTGTTGCTGTTCTTGTTGTAAGTCCACAGGTTGATTGTGGTTATCTTTTGTAATAGGATAGGGGTATATGTGTTTCGGTTTAAGTATTTTTTTTTGCTAATGTGGAACATTGTTGTAATGCAAAGTAATGGTTAATGAAAATTTGATATCTATTGACCAATTATGGATTTGTTCTATTGTTCATACATAACCTTCTAAAGATAACATATAATGCATCCATATGTAGTTAACACAAAAGCATACTAAAGACATAATACCTATTACCATCTTCAAAATACATGTCATAAGTTAATTGAAAACAAAGTTATTGCAACAAAAGACATCCTGCATCTAGGAATCAAACCAAAGTTGTTCAATACAGTCAAACCAAAAGATAAAACCAACATAGACCATCAAGTCCCTCCCTGACCTTTGCATGTCCTGGAGTTGTGCCCTTTGTTTCCACACTTACTACAAGTCACACTAACAAACTTTCTTGTTAGTTTCCCACTACCATGTGGACCATGACCATGAATCTCACTGGGACCAACATCTGACCTTTGACTCTGACTTTGACTCTTGCTTTGACTTTTCTCCTCCATGGATTGCCTTCTCTTCCTCTTGGGTCTCCCAGGTTGATTACGGTGTGGGGGAGGTGTGATCTGCATTGGACACTCACTTCTAGGCCACAGTGCCCGACCTTTAATTGGTTCCACCTTGTACCCATACACAGTTTTCCAAGTTTGTAGCCAGTGCACCTTGTGGACATAAGTATGGAGCTCTTGTACACACTCACCATGATCTGCTTTGTTATACAACACAGAAATCACATGTCTGCAAGGGATACCTGTTAATTCCCATTTCCTGCAGCTGCATACCCTTTCATGCATATCAACAACATGTTGATCATTCCATGGGCCTTTGACTTGGTATTTTTCATCACCACACCATTCTGCAATGTACTGAGTAGCAGCTGCTTCATTCTTCTCCATGATCTTTGTTGTTGTTGGGGTGAGTGGGCCTAAACACTTTTGTTGCACCTTGAGGACATTTCATATCCTCTTCATCATATATTCCCTAATAAACTCCAAGCAGCTAATAATTGGTTTGTCTCTCCCATCAACTAGCTTGCCATTAAACACCTCACAAAGGTTGTTTAACAGCATGTCTGTGGTTGCTCTCCCTGTATAGAAAAGGGTAAAAGTGTCATAATGTTATGTGAAGGGTAAAATGGTAAAAGGGTAAAAGGGTCATAATAGCTTACCTGTGAAATGGATTTTTGCCCAATGTTGTGGTGGTATTGACTTCAACCATTCATATGCTGATTTGTCATATAAACTGAATTGGTGCATGAAATGGTTAAACTCTGGCACTGTTGTAGCTGTGGCACAATCCTAAAGGTGATCTTTATATTCCTTAGTTCTCCATTGTTTCTTCATGTTCTCATGTATATGTCTGAGACAGAACCTATGCTCAGCACATGGGAACAGTTGACTAACTGCTTGTAGCAAACCCTGGCAACAAATTACACATGATTAACAAAATAAACATTAAAAATAATAAATAAACAACCATTACCTTTTGTCTGTCACTAACAAAAGTGAAATTAGACATAGCATGTAGATCCAAGTCATCACCAAGACATTCAAGGAACCACTTCCAAGATTCGCAGTTTTCAATCTCTACGATGGCATATGCAAGTGGGTATATGCCATTGTTGGAATCTAATCCAACTGCAGTTAAGATCTGGCCTGGATAAGGGCCTTTCATATGAGCCCCATCTAGCCCCAAGAAATCTCTTAAACAAGCTTTGAATCCCTTCTTCATCCCCCTTAGACAAACATAAATTCTTTTGAAACATCTTGAAGTGCAATTCACCAAATTAGATTCTGAAACATCTCCAAGTTCTAATTTGACTGTGGTATCAGGATTGGTTGACTGCAACTCAAGGATATAGTCTCTCAGAACTTCATACTGTTTTTTGTAATCACCCACTACAATCCTTTTTGCATCTGCTTTAGCTCTAAAAACTTTATGGATTGAGAAGCCCACTCCATACTTCTTCTGTAATTGTTCTTGGAGAGCTTTAACTGGGATAGTAGGGTTGGATTCTACTTGATCCATGATTTGTTTGGACATAAAATTCGCTGTTGCAGCTCTCACCTTCCTTGTATTCATACAAGTGTGTTTGTCTTCATATGTTTTAATGTACCAGCTGCTTGCATCTGTAGACCTCGAGGCATGTAACATCCAAGGACAAGAAGAATCTGCTTTTTCCTGACTTGTACCACCTTGTTTGTCCTTTTCTTTACTTTTCCCTTTAATTTTCCCTTTACTTTTTTCAGCTTGGGTAGGTCCACCAACTCCATCATTGGTAAATGCCACAACTCCATTACATATGGCCCTCAATCTGGATTTGTCATTTTTTTTAAATGCAATATACTTTTGATTTTCTCTTTCAACTCATCCTTACTTAGTTGTTTAAAAACTGCTCTTCTCTTCCTGTCCTGGTCAGAATCCTCATCCATGGAATCAAAAGCATCATTGTCAATGACATCTAACTCATCTGCTTCTTCATCACTCTCATGTTGTCTAGGATTCCTAGCCCTTTTATCTAAGAACTCTACTTCTGTATCAATGCTCATGTTAAAATCCCTCATATCAACTTCAATATCTTCAATTACATTATCTTCATCCACCCAATAATCACTATCATCTTCCTGCTCTGTTTCACTTCTTTCTTTACTTTCAACCTCACTTACATTTTCTTTTCCACTACTATCCATGTTAGACTGAGGTTGGTTTTCACTTCCATCTTGGACAAAAGCATCAGTTTGATAGTCAAAATCCCAAAAGTCATTCATTTGAGGTTGGTTTTCTTCATCCATCTGAGCTTGGTTTTCTTCATCCATTTGAGGTTGGATTTCTTCATCCATCTGAGGTTCATTGACATCATGCATGTCAGTGCCATTGACTCCATCAACATTGCTTTGTAGTATTTATTGGTAGAGTCCAATATCAAAATCAGTAGCTGCCTCAACAAAGTCTTTGGCTATCTGTTCAGTCTCACCAATATCATCAAAGTATATTTTCTTACTGCAAGATGCCATCACTCCATCCTTGCTCATACCCCTTCTCCTATTATATCCAGGTGATAAGGATACGACTTGAACTATTTCATTAACTTGGATTTTAGGTTGGTTTGCTTGAGTGGGCACCACATCAACTAAATTATCAGTAGGTGTAGTCATCACAAGTGTTTCCTTTGATTGGTCATCAGGAGCTTCATCAATGTGTTGCACATCCTCATGTGGTTCATCTAACTGTACAAGGGTAACCTTGGTAACAGGCTTAGGATTCAAGAAATAGGTGAGTAGTCTTGTTTCACCATGATCTGTGTATACCTTCATCACTTTGTGCTCACTGACATATTGAGAAAAGTTTGCAACATCTTGATCATTTCCTAAAGGGCGAAGACCAAAGTGGAAGTCTCCACCAGGCACAAGAAAATGGTAGAATATAATAGGAGGAACCCCATATCTAAAACCCTTCATGATTGCATCGAGCTCATGAACTGAAAACTCATCTATGTCTACCATATCAACATAGTTTACAGTTCCATCAATGTAACGAACATCAGGGTACTTGGTGAACTCACCTCCATGGTACAACTTAATGGTAAACAATGTTGGGTGTCCATCTTCAAAACAAGAAAAAAAAAACACCTCAGTTGGAGTTACTTAAAAAAAATCAAGAAATCAAAAGATGAAAAAGGGCAAATTACGTACCATAAACAACCTTGGGGTTGAAGGGTGTGTTTAACAACCTTACGTGCCACATTGTTATGTTCATCCACCGATAATCTCTACAAATCGCAGCTTAACTAACAGAACTGATTTTGTGTCTAGGGCTTTTATTGATCTTGGTAAAGAACGACGGTCTACTTTATTGAGGAGGAGACGAACTGCTTTTATTGAGCTTTAGCGGGAACGGTTACAGGGATTAATGGACTAAAATACCCTTAAGTGAGAGGGGCATGGGTAAATTAACGGGAGCTTGGTAACGGCTGTTAAGCCATTGGACTAAACTCGCAACAAATAGAAACTATTGGACCATCTTTGCAAGCCAAACCCATTTTGGACCAAACATGCTAGTTTGGACATACCACAGGGACCAAATTTGCAATTTTGTCTATTAACAACAATCCAAGGAATCAATCGTAGCGTTATGAATTATAATGATCATCGATCAAAGGAATAGATGTATAATTGTACATTTGGTACATATACAACAGATTATACCGTAAAACCTATATCTTTACCAAAAAAACTCACATTTTTTTTTCGTTTAATTTTTTTAAGCCAAGAGGTTGCATCAAAAACCATTATTAAAAAAAAACCAATGAATCAATTGTGAACGTTAGAAATTATAATGATTAACGGCCAAGGGAATGAATGTATACTTGTACATTGAGCGTACATACACCGGATTATATCGTAAAACTTATCTATTTACCAGAAAAACAAACCTCTTTTTTTTCGTTTAAATTTTTTTAAGCCACCTTTTTTATTGAAAAATACGAATATACCGTTGACACATAAAAAAAAACTTTTTTCCTAAAAAAATCCATTTCGTTTTGTTGTTTTTTTTAATATTTAAGTTTATTTTTATCCAAAAAACTAGCTATACAAAAAATCTTAATTTTTTGTCCTCTATTAATAAACATCAACATCGATTAAAAAAAAAACTATAATCAGTTCAGATATACATTGTGAATCTAAACTATAATCAGTTCAGATTTACATTGTGAATCTTACTTACTATTTCAACTATTTATTCATTCACAAATTAAGTTAAATGTACATATAAATTGAAATATATTTCTATATAGTTTATAATATTCTAATGTTCTGATTACTCGTAAATAAATTTTGTAAAACTAACAAATGGATTTATTCACATTCGAATTTAAAGTGAACATAATTTAGTTTTCAGAATTCACAATATCAATCTGCCTTGTTATTATTCATACTATGAATCTGAATAGATTTACAATTTTAATCTAAGCAGATTCACAATGTGAATCTAAACTGAAATTTCGATTTTTTTTTTAAAACAATAATATGAATCTTTGTTTAAAGAGTACAAAAAATATGAATTTAGATGTATTTATAATTTGTTTTGATAAAAAATAGACTTTAACTTTTCAAAAAAAAAAAAAAAACAAAGAAAACGAAGTATTTTTTTTAAAAAAAATATTTTTTTATATATCAAGATGGATATATATGGAATGAAAACAAACAATCATGAACACCGATATATTCGAATTTTTTTTTTCCGATAAAAACCATGGTCTAAAAAATTAAACTAAAAAAGTGGGTTTTGTTATGATCCGGTGCAAGTACGTGGATTATAAAAGTCTACAACCATTAATTTTGTCGTTGATCGCTTTAAATTCCGATGTTTTGGATTGGTTCTTTGATTAATAATAATTCTCTATTGAACTTTTATATATATATATATATATATATATATATATATATATATATATATAGAGAGAGAGAGAGAGAGAGAGAAGTTCATATAAGAATAACAAATGAACTTTAACAAAATTTTGTTAAATATGTTGTTTATATATGAATATAACTTGTGATAAAAGTTAATACGAGTTTCATTTATATATGAATGATAGTTAAACTGGAAAAAAAAATTAAGCATATTTTTTATTCCTATGTGATTAACGTATGTACTGTAATAAAATATGATACATTTTTATTTACTTATGAATAACAAGAGCTATAAGTATATAAAAAAAATTATCTTAAAACTATATCAATATAGATGTTTATTTATAAATAATAAAAAATTATGAATTTTGATATATTTAAAATAGTTTTTCGATAAAAATAGTTCTTTAAAAAGTTAAAGAAATAAAAAAAAATAATGTTTTTTTATATATTAAGGTAAATATTAGCATAGTTTAAGAAACATGTTTGGTTGAAAAAAAACACACACATGTTTGTGTATGTGTGTGTGTTCCAACCAAACAAGTTTACTTAAACTATGCTAGTATTTATCTTAATATATAAAAAAAACATTTTTTTTTGTTATTTTTTAACCTTTTAAACAACTATTTTTATCGAAAAATTATTTTAAATATATCAAAATTCATAATTTTTTATTATCTATAAATAGACATCTATATTGATATAGATTTAAGATAAATTTTTTTTTTTATATATAATTTCAGCTCTTGTTATTCATAAGTAAATAAAAATGCATCATATTTTATTACAATACATACGTTAATCAGTTAGGAATAAAAAATATGCTTAATTTTTTTTTAGTTTAACTATCATTCATATATAAATGAAACACGTATTAACTTTTATCACAAGTTATATTCATATATAAACAACATATTTAACAAAATTTTGTTACAGTTCATTTGTTATTCTTATATGAACTTATCTATCTCTCTCTCTCTCTCTCTCTATATATATATATATATATATATATATATATATATATATATATATTGGTGTAAAACAAACTAATAGATGCGCAAGGAAACCGACAAAAAATATTGAGAATTATATGTCGATTAGTTGCGAATAATAGATCCAATTATTATTAATATATTTAGCAAGTTTCGTCCAGAAACCAGATCTATCCTTCTCGATTAGATCTGATTATAAGAAAGGTAGAAGAAGACTGTCATGTTATTGGACGAATTAATCACAAGACAGAAAAAGTAAAACCGACCTGTTTATTGTTGATCTTGATCTTGAAGCAACTGCACGAATCAGACTCCTGTCCTTAAAGGTTTTTACTTCGCTTCTACTGGCTGTAAGCAACAGAGTAAAACCCCAGGATTTAATGCAACTTGATCGATATTCCAACAGCACTGGAAATCGACAAACACAAAGCGACTACTTGGAAACCAAGAAAAAACGCAAAGAGAGGGAGAGAGCTTTTAGATTTTTCGAGAGTGTAAATGCGGCTCCTAGGGAGCTGTATTTATAGGTATTGTAACCCTAGAAGGCATCAAACGGGCCCCCATAGGCTGGACCCAGAAACCCTAGGGCGACAGCTTGCTCTCCAAGCAAGCCATTTCCTGATCCTTCTAGAATACCCTGACTTGTCCTCCACGAAGTCAACTCCGGTCAACCATTTGACCAGATCGGTCAAACCGGCTTGACCCGAGCTCGTCAAAAATAAAAGCTCCTCAACGACCGATGCGTCATGTGAAGTGCAAAGTGAGCCTAAATCGCGCCATTTCGCGCACTCGCGTCGTTGTCTAGTGCTAGGCTAGGCTAGGCGTGCGCGTGGGCTTGGCCCATTCCTTTGATCCACTAAAGCCTTTGAAGGCTTACCAAGGGAATAGGCTTATAAACCCACAAAAGTTTCTTCCCCCCACCAATGTAGGATACAAAGGAAATTGCCAACTTGCAATTCCTTTATATATAAAGTTCCAACAATCCCCCACCAAGTTGGTAAGTTTCCTTTCACTCAGACAGATGATGTCACTCGGGTGTCACGAAGATTAAACCCTAGTTTAATGAGAACAAACAAGAAGATACCGATTCAATGGTATCCTTATAGGTTTAAACCATGAACCTAAATGACCTCTCCGGTTTACCTCCACACATCAAAAGTCATATTTGTGTTCTCCCTGAGCGTTATTATGGCCATGCGTTATAAATCCTTTTCATGACCCTCTAGAAGATAAACCACTAATCTTCCCATGAGGCAGCACCACCTCTAGATCATATAGGCAAAGTTTTACAACATCTTAGTTTCTTAGATGTCTCCAAAACTATGTTAAGCGTCGTAACTCAACCTCGTTCTCGGCAACGACGTACTATCCTACCACACATGGATCTATCATGACTGATAGTACCTTCTATCGTTAGTGATTGCATTGTTACCTGTTAAACTTGAAAATTAGGAGCACTAATGTCAAGTTGGGTTTCGATCACTAAACGATTCTATTGTGGTTTTACACCCATGACTCTCGTGGTAGATGTAACCAAATCTCTTGTCAGAGGTTTGGTAAACGGATCTGCCAAGTTCCTACTTGTCTTGACATACACAACCTTGATGGTACCACTTTCAATTAGTTGTCTCACAAAATTATGTCACAGACCTGCATGCCTTGACTTCCCATTATATACCGCATTATATACTTTAGACCGTGTGGCCTTACTGTCACAGTACATGGGTATTGAAGGCATCGGAATATCCCAAAAACGGATATCCATAAGTAGATCTCGAATCCACTCTGCCTCTTTGCTAGCTGCTGCTAAGGCAATTAGCACTGCTTCCATCGTTGAATGAGCTATGCATGTCTGTTTCTTGCTCGCCCAAGAAATAGCACCACCAGCTAGAGTATAAATCCAACCACTTGTTGATTTTGAATCGCTAGTGTGATCAATCCAACTGGCATCAGAATAACCTCTAAGTATTCCATTAGATGACGAATATGTCAATTCAAAAGTACTTGTCCTTTTCAGGTATCCTATTACTCCACCCACTGCCTTCCAGTGCTCCATCCCTGGATTAACAGTGTACTGACTCAATTTGCTTACAGCGAATGCGATGTCAGGTCGCGTGTAGTGAGTAGCATACATCATACTTCATACTGCACTAGCATATTCTAGTTGAGCCACTGCTCGACCAGAATTCACCTTCAGTTTCACACTTGATTCAAAAGGAGTATTGAATTCCTTAATGTTCAAATGTTGAAACTTTGTCAGAATTTTCTCTATGTAATGAGATTGACTCAGAGAAATCTGACCACCTGTCCTCTTCACCTTGATACCAAGAATAGTATCTAATTCTCCAAGATC